TACAATGTTGTAGTATGAATCTGCAGGTAGCTAAAGCTAACCAATTAGGTGCAATGTTAGCTAGTTAGCTAACACTAGGCTATAACTAGCAATATAAATGGACTTCTGAGATACAAATAATATTACTACACAGATCATACCTGTAACGTTAGCTAGCGAGCCAGCATGCTATCGTTAGCTAGCTGGCTAACAGTATGTATTATCTTGCAATGAAAACTACTTTCTGACCAAATTTTAAACGTATAATATTTGAAAATGTAGCTAGACTCTTACCCGTATACATGGATGAACGCTTGTTTGGCCCGTTGTGTCAAGTCACTTCGGTTCACACTGACCGTGTGCAGAAAGTTGTCCATCACAGAAAGTTGTCCATCACTTTTTCTCACTGATATTTGTCGATAGGTTCAGGTTGCACATCCTGTTCAAACTAACCCTACTGAAAAAACACACAGAATCAGGAAATAATGTGCATATCACTGGTTAGAGGACAACTTGTAGAAAACAGCCAGCTACATTTTGGATTGTTGCATTTTGTTTCAAGTGGGTCGCCAACGCGGAAAGATAAACGCAACACTATTTTGTTGATCACTCATATCGATATCACATTAAAATCAATAGAGCGGGTGCTCACAATTGTTTATAACGCATTGTTGTCCTTTTTATACTGTATTAAAAGTATTTTAGGAAAACTAAATAGAAAAAGAAAATATACAATTCGTGAAAAATACATTTATTATTTTTGCACTTTACGATGCTTTCCTTTGTGACCAGTTACTCATTAAATTGGCCCATGCATTCACTAGTCAGCTATTTATCTCGTCTCATGTTTACTGAATGTACATCTCAACTATTTTATTACTCATACAAGAGAATAAATCATCCAGCCTTTAAATCATTCATTTCCAGTCTACATAATTAAATAATAGGCGTACAGTTTGAATATTGTTGTTTGTGCTTTTCATACATGTATGTGTATACAGTTGAAGTCGGAAGTTTACATACACCTTAGCCAAATACATGTAAACTCAGTTTTTCACAATTCCTGACATTTAATCCAAGTAAAAAGTCCCTATCTTAGGTCAGTTAGAATCACCACTTTATTTTAAGAATTTGAAATGTCAGAATAATAGTAGAGAGAATGATTTATTTCAGCGTTTCTTTCTTTCATCACATTCCCAGTGGGTCAGAAGTTTACATACATTCAATTAGTATTTGGTGGCATTGCCTTTAAATTGTTTTACTTGGGTCAAACGTTTCGGGTAGCCTTCCACAAGCTTCCCACAATAAGTTGGGTGTAACTGAGTCAGGTGTTTAGACCTCCTTGCTCGCACACGCATTTTCAGTTCTGCCCACACATTTTCTATAGGATTGAGGTCAGGGCTTTGTGATGGCCACTCCAATACCTTGACTTTGTTGTCCTTTAAGCCATTTTGCCACAACTTTGCTTGGGGTCATTGTCCATTTGGAAGATTCATTTGCGACCAAGCTTTTAACTTCCTGACTGATGTCTTGAGATGTTGCTTCAATATATCCACATAGTTTTCCTTCCTCATGATGCCATCTATTTTGTGAAGTGCACCAGTCCCTCCTGCAGCAAAGCATCCCCACAGCATGATGCTGCCACCCCCGTGCTTCACGTTTGGGATGGTGTTCTTCGGCTTCCAAGCCGCCCCCTTTTTCCTCCAAACATAACGATGGTAATTATGGCCAACAGTTCTATTTTTGTTTCATCAGACCAGAGGACATTTCTCCAAAAAGTACGATCTTTGTCCCCATGTGCAGTTGCAAACCGTAGTCTGGCTTTTTTATGGCGGTTTTGGAGCAGTGGCTTCTTCCTTGCTGAGCAGCGTTTCAGGTTATGTCGATATAGGACTCGTTTTACTGTGGAATAGATACTTTTGTACCTGTTTCCTCCAGCATCTTCACAAGGTCCTTTGCTGTTGTTCTGTGATTGATTTGCACTTTTCGCACCAAAGTACGTTCATCTCTAGGAGACAGAACGCGTCTCCTTCCTGAGCGGGATGACGGCTGCGTGGTCCCATGGTGTTTATACTTGCGTACTATTGTTTGTACAGATGAACGTGGTACCTTCAGGCGTTTCGAAATTGCTCCCAATGATGAACCAGACTTGTGGAGGTCTGCACATTTTCTTTCTGAGGTCTTGGCTGATTTTTTTTGATTTTCCCATGATGTCAATTAAAGAGGCACTGAGTTTGAAGGTAGGCCTTGAAATACATCCACAGGTACAGCTCCAGTTGACTCAAATGATGTAAATTAGCCTGTCAGAAGCTTCTAAAGCCATGACATCATTTTCTGTACCATACAGTGCATTCGGAAAGTATTCAGACCCCTTGACTTTTTTCACATTTTGTTACGTTACAGGCTTATTCTAAAATTGATTAAATTGTTTTTTTCTTCATCAAACTACACACAATACCCGATAATGACAAAGCAAAATTGTTGCTAATTTCTAACTGAAATATTACATTTACAAAATAATTCATACCTTTTACTCAGTACTTTGTTGAAACATCTTTGGCAGCAATTACAGCCTAGAGTTTTCTTGGGTATGACGCTACAAGCTTGGCACCTGTATTTGGAGAGTTTCTCCCATTCTTCTCTGCAGATCCTCAAGTTCTGTCAGGTTAAATGGTGAGCGTCGCTGCACAGCTATATTCAGGTTTCTCCAGAGATGTTCGATCGGGTTCAAGTCCAGGCTCTGGCTGGGCCACTCAAGGACATTCAGAGACTTGTCCCGAAGCCACTCCTGCGTTTTCTTGGCTGTGTGCTTAGGGTCATTGTCCTGTTGTACGGTGAACCTTCGCCTCAGTCTGAGGTCATGAGCGCTATGGAGCAGGTTTTCATCAAGGATCTCTCTGTACTTTGCGCTGTTCATCTTTCCCTCGATTCTGACTAGTCTCCCAGTCCCTGCTGCTGAAAAACATCCCCACAGCCTGATGCTGCCACCACCATGCTTCACGTAGGGATGGTGCAAGGTTTCCTCCAGACGTGACACTTGGCATTCATGCCAAAGAGTTCAATCTTGATTTTATCAGACCAGAGAATCTTGTTTCTCATGGTCTGAGAGTCCTTTAGGTTGCCTCTTGGCAAACTCCAAGTGGGCTGTCATGTGCCTTTTACTGAGGAGTGGCTTCCGTCTGGCCACTCTACCATGAAGGCCTGATTGGTGGAGTGCTGCAGAGATGGTTGTCCTTCTGGAAGGTTCTCCCATCTCCACAGAGGAACTCTGGAGCTCTGTCAGAGTCACCATCGGGTTCATGATCACCTCCCTGACCAAGGCCCTTCTCCCTCGGTTGCTCAGTTTGGCCGTGCAGCCAGCTCTATGAAGAGTCTTGGTGGTTCCAAATGTCTTCCATTCAAGAATGATGGAGGCCACTGTGTTCTTGGGGACCACAATTCCTTTGACCTCATGGCTTGGTTTTTGCTCTGACATGCACTGTCAACTGTGGGACGTTATATAGACAGATGTGTGCCTTTCCAAATCATGTCCAATCAATTGAATTTACCACAGGTGGATTCAAATCAAGTTGTAGAAACATCTGAAGGATGTTCAATGGAAACAGGATGCACCTGAGTTCAATTTCGAGTCTCATAGCAAAGGGTCTTATGTAATTCTTATGTAAATACATTTGCTAAAATGTCACTTTATCATTATGTGGTATTGTGTGTAGATTGATGAGGAAAATGTTTTATTTAATACATTTTAGAATAAGGCTGTAACGTAACAAAATGTGGAAAAAGGGAAGGGATCTGAATACTTTCCGAATGCACTGTAGCTGCAATTGAAGTGTTGTATCAAACTGCTATGCGTCTTGATTCAATGTAAATGTATATCTGTTACTTTTTAAATGTTTTATCTATCTAGCCTCTCTTGATTCTTCATTGCAAAAGGGAAACTCTAACGAAACATTGTAATTCTGTTAATTATTAATGCAGCTTTTTGAAATAGATGTGAAACTGTTCCACCTGGATTATCTTATAGTTGTTATGATTGGGCTTATGTCTGTCAAGACAAACACACATTTCACCAAATTCAAACAAACTTGTCATTCAGAATTTTCATCATTGGTGTTTTGTTTTTATAGTAAATGTCATCAGTTAGTCTTTTCACACATTGTTCTGTTTGTGTCCTTTTAACCTGTCTGGCTTTGGTTTGATGTGAAAGTCTGCTTTATTTCCACTAATGTATTTTTTTCTGGGCATCAGGAGTGAACCTGTTGATAGCAGTGACAGGTTATAGGTATGGGGAGTGCATATCACCTATCTGTTTTTAGCTACCATGTGAACAAACTGTGAAATATTACCTTTGAAAAAAGGACTATATAAATGTATTTTTGCTTTTGTTGGGGCATTTGTATACTCTTGCAGTTATATTTATGTAAACCTTCTGGTATATATATTAATAAAGATAGATCAGTTTTCCTTTTTCAAGTTGATTTCCCCACCCTCTGATGTTTGGTTTTGGTTACATTTTTGCATTGATCAGCTTTTGTTTTTGTCCAGGAGACACACAAGACATCATGAATTTCCCATACTGTGAAATATTTGAAATGGCAAAATCACAAGCACATCAATCTAATTACGTTTGAAGAGTAACATAACTAATCATCAATTAAATGCATCATGGCCTTACCCTAGTTGTCCATCTAAAACATGTTTTAAAATGATGAAGTGAGGAGAGCAAGGGAAGAAGAAAGGACAGACATGCTCAGAAACCAGATGAATATGATCACATATTCACATGTATTTTAATATTCTGATTAGACATTTATAATTAGTAAAGGACCTGTGTTTTTCAATGAAGATAAAAATGAAAACCGCCCATGGAGTTATTTGAAAAACAACAAAATAAACTAATATGATCCCCTGTCTGAGTGGAGAACTACTTTTGCGCAGCGTCTTGCGTTAGACTGATCCCCTCGAACGCGCTGGAACGTCATTGGGTACAGTTCAATGCCGACAGTTATATATGGGGTGAACTTGCGCGCATCACTCACTTGCTGCAGGAAAAAGATGGCAGACGTTACAGAGGTGGACGCAGAGACTCTTAGCAAAAAGTAAGCCAATCTCGATTCTCTCTTCTATTGGAAAAAATTTATGAAGACGTGTGCAACATGTTGATGGTGTGTGTTTCACTTCCGTGTTATTATTCGATAAAAAGTAGTAGGATAGTGTTGCGTCAGATCGGATAAAGCTCGATGGAAAAACTAGTGTTCCATAGCGAATGTGCATACACATTTTCCAATGGTCATTTCGGTTCAAGCGGCATATCGCACATACATGCTCTTCATCCTAGTCTGTGAATGGAGATAACTACAAAACTTATATTTCATCGTAGAAATTACCCAAGCTAAGTTGCTGATCTGAAGTTCCTTATTTTCATGTAAGTTTATTGACAAAACCACGTTTCAGCTAAATAAATGTTGCCAACTTCACCAACCTTTCAGGTCATACTCATGCTATTTATGTGGGGAAATATTGAAGTAATCAGCTTTATGCATCCAGGCTAAATATCCTATCTCACTTCCATAATGTGATGGCTTGGTAACTAGTGGATTTAGCTAGCTACTACTAGGCTATGTTGCCTAATGACTGATCAGCTCAGAATGAAAGTGAAAATGTTCTCCGTACCCAATTGTCATACTTTAGTAAAAGTAAAAGTAAAAATACCTTAATAGAAAAGGACTCGAGTAAAAGTGAGTCATCCCAGTAACATCCTACTTGAGTGAAAGTCTTTGGTTTTAATTATACTAAAGTATCAAAACTAAATGTAATTGCTAAAATATACTTGGGTATCAAAAGTTAAAGTATAAATAATTTCAAATGCCTTATATTAAGCAAACCAGATGGCACCATTTACATTTTTTTACAGATAGCCAGGGGTATGCTCCAACACTCAGACATAATTTACAAATGAAGCATTTGTTTAGTGAGTCCGCCAGATCAGAGGCAGTAGGTATGACCAGGGATGTTCTCTTCATAAGTGTGTGAATTAGACCATTTTCCTGTCCTGCTAAGCATTCAACATGTAACGAGTACTTTTGGGTGTCAGGGAAAATGTATGGAGTAAAAAGTACATAATTTTCTTTAGCAATGTAGTGAAGTAAAAGTTGTCAAAAATATAAATAGTAAAGTACAGATACCCGAAAAAACTACTTAAGTAGTACTTACAAGTATTTTTACTTAAGAACTTTACACCACTGAGTAAAAGTCTAAAAGTATTTGGTTTATATATACGTAATTATCAAAAGGAAAAGAAAATGCTTGTTTTTTTGGAACACTCAAACATGGACATCCGTTTTCAAGATTTCTGGTATATCATCAAAATAAATCAATCACAGCACATTTTTAGACTCATTCAATAGTTTTTACCTTATTTAACTAGAATACTATTGGAAATGAATGTTATGTTTTAGGAATAACAATGGAACTTAAGTTGAAAATAGTAATCATAGTGCCACAATAGTAATCAGATATATATATATATATATATATATATATATATATATATATGGTGTATCATACACTGCAGTTGAGTAACAATGGGAAAGTAATTCTGCTTTGAAAGTTAATAAACTTATAGCACCACTTTTGAGAAATGGGCATTGAATGTTTTGATACACCTACTGGAGAGCTCTTCTTTGTCTACACCATTCAGCATAGTTCACACCCTATTAAACCTTCGCCCCACCCATCTCTTTAAGGATTCAAATGTAAGGCCATGTGCTAAACAAAGTAACAATAGTGTAGGAAACAACCAAAGATTTCAAGACTAAAAGTGGTGAAAGTAGTAGTAAAAATACACTTTATCTAGGATTATATCCTAATCTGACGTTCTTTACATTACCGTCTCTGGTAAACACACACTATATCAAATAATCTTAAATTACAGAAGGTGTAAACGGTACAGTGAAATGGATATTTGCATAGTAGCAATGTCAAAAATGTAAAGTGTCCACATAGAAATATTGTATGAATCTTTTATAATTATTAGATTATGCTTACCCAGACACACTTGTCTAAATTAATGGGTAATGTGAAATAAATGCTAAAGCCACATCTATCTAAGTGGATGGGTCACTATTGTCAAGACATGTACACATGTTCATGAAATACAATAGATTGCCATAATAACCCCCAGACACACCTGGCTAACTTGATGGGTTGTGTAATCATCTGGCGACGTGGAGTCTTTTTTGTTTAGATATGAACCATAATCCCAACCCATACAGTACAAACGGAATGACATACTGAGCAGCTCATGTTATAGACAGAAGCATGCTACATGGCAGACCAATCCGAACTCATCTCTCGGCATGTCCAGCCCATCTATTATTTCAGCCAATCATGGCCAGTGAGAAGGTTCCTGTCTTTTTCCGTGGCTAAACCAACTAGGCTTGTAATTTACATTTTAAAATTTAAATTACAGATGGCATACAAGATGGCATACAGACGGCATACAAGTTTGTTATTAAGGCACATAAAAGTTCACATGTTCCAGAAGGCTATCTTGTGAAGTAGTGACGTGCAACATTCGCCTAGCTTCCTGAAACGTGTCATATTTTGATTTGGGGGTCACTAAACAGAAAGGGAAATGCAACACTTATTTGTCAATCACTCATATTGTTATCACGTTGTAATCAATAGAACAGGGGGGGGGGGTCAGGTTGAAAATCCTGTTCAAACTAACCCTACTGAAAGACCACATGGAATCTGGGAATAATGTGCATATCACTGGTTAGAGGACAACTTGTAGAAATCAGGCAGCGTGGGTCGCCAACGCGGAAAGGTAAACACAACACTATTTTGTTAATCACTCATATTGATATCACATTAACGTCAATAGAACAGGGGCAAACATTTGGGTTGTATGCGCTGTTTAAAGTGGAACTGACAGCGCTTTAACTACTTTGCAAATATGGATAAAAAAAACTAATAATCCTGGGAAGACGATACAATTAAACTAGCAAGGCAATGGTCACATGTCAGTCATAACGTAATTTTTTGCTGTTGCAGGCTTGTCTTGTGTGACTTAGTCATAAGTCTGGGCGTACATATAAGATCCGTTTGGGTGCGACCGCAGCATGTAAGACATCCCGTGGTTTTACTATCTGCAGGAAGTCAGCTGTATGGAAACTTGCAGAAACTAGCACATTATATTGTGAACTGTGACAAAACGCAGTTATGCGGTTAAGCCCTTCCTATCTTAATCTGCACAGACAAACCAATCGCCTTTTACACTATGTTCCGCTCCTGTTACCACACATCTGCTAAACTGCCACGTAGACAAGAGGTTGCACTTTTTCTATAAAAACGGAGACCCAACTATGTTTGTTGGGCATTTCACTCTGCACTATTTTAGAGATTGTTGATTGCTAAGTTTTTTGCTAATCTTATAATAAAGTTGTTGTTTGACGAATCTACAGGCTCTCTCCTGGTTAGAAATGTTAGCTAGCTAGCTAAGGAGGATGTCATTGGGTGAGTGGCCGACTTTTTCCCCTCATATCGTTTTTTTCGGTGGCTACAGCTAGAGATGCAGGTGTCATTTGGTTAGCTATCAATAAATGTGAGTCACTTTGCTAGCTATCTAGTTAGCTATTCTGAACTTGAATGATTATTATCCAGTTAGCATATCTCTTGCGTTCGTAAATTCAATGTGGCTATCTACTCCGATTTCAGAGCACTCTCGTCTGAGTGTGCCAGAGCGCAGAATAACTGATGAATTTACGAACACTCAACACCCGCTGAATATGCCTGGTGTCAGTAAACGTGGGCAAAAAAAGTAATTAAATTGTTGCCACTAGCACAGTTAGTCACTAACGCTCTAGATAACATGTAAACAGTCTAACCAGCTCTGCTAGGGCGAGTAAAATGGTCAGCGTGAGGTGGCCAGTTAGCTTGGTGTTTGACTGCCATTGTGAGGAACGATCAGATCAACCCTACTCCTCAGCCATAGCGTCCAGTGTGTGTGGCTCTGAATGCTCGAAGAGCGAAACGCTCTGCATTTACGAACGGATCATCTGAAAAAGCGCTGAATTTACGAATGACCCAGAGCGCGCTGACCCACTGAAGGTAATTTATGAACGCACCCTTAGTTATCAATCAAATGTATTTGGCATCGATCAAATGGGCGGGCAGGCAAGTTCCCATTCAGTTGTCAAAATGTGGGTTGGGGACAAGCATGCATTGGCAGGCAAGCTGGAGAAGGACGAGCAGGCTACTATTCCCCATTGTTTATCAGTGTAATTTTGACGGCTAACTTGCTGAAAAAGTTTGAGAGGGTTTATCTATTGTTCCCTCGTTAGAGTTTAGCTCATCTTGCTCTGGCTAGCATTAGTTGTTGATCTTGTTGTTGTTAATGTGCATAACTGAGGGAGAGGGAGCCTACCCTTTCATCGTTGTTTGATCAATAGGAATGTAAAGTTTCCAAATGTAAGAGGACTCCCGTGGTATTTACATATTTATAGAAATCCATTCAGGTGTATTTTGTGGCTTTTGGCGAATGCGTTCAAATTATCTAAAATCGCGCTGTTGCCACTGCTTGTCAACACAGTCCAGTTCAACGTGAATGATGGGAGGCCTGTGTGGCATAAAGGCCTACTGTAGCTCTGATATGGCTATTGTGCATCGGTCTGCGTAGACTCCGGTCCTGGATGAAACAGATGTTTTTATTAGGTTTTATTTACTGCAGTATCTATTAATTGTCCAAACGCTTTGCCACTTTCCCACTCTATATTGCGATAGTTTTCAAACGGCATTCCCAAACATTCTATTAATTTATTAAGACGTGAAAATGACCATATCTAAGTGCTCACATTGTCAGAAAATGTAAAAAATTAATGAAAATAAAAGTTGTGTTGCTAAAACGCTGTCAGTTCCACTTTAAACAAACAATATTCAAATGCCACACGAAATCTGAGCGTTTTTATATCACCTGGTTAGAAGATAATTTACTTAAGACGTCGGATGGAGATTCTGGGAAGGCTGCCGAAACGGGAAAGAAGCAAATCAGTTGCTTTGTTATTTAACTTAACCTGAATCACGACCCAAAATAGGATATCAACGCTGACAAGGGTTGCCTGTTGATTTTGAATGATAGTTTGACTCTCAAATCCATGTATTGGTGTGAGGCCAGGGACTTTTATAGAGAGACCTCCCGATATATCTCAGGGCCATTTGAAGATGACTGCAGAGTTTTCGAACTGCAAATTCCTGCAACTTTTACTCCTATGTAGTGGAGTAAAAGTTGCAGAGTTTTCGAACTGCAAAGTCCTGCAACTTTTACTCCTATGTAGTGGAGTAAAAGTTTACCAAATATATAAATACCCCCCCCAAAAAGTATTTCTACTTACTTTACACTACTGTTACTAAACCCATTTACACTGAACGAAATATAAACGCAGCATGTAAAGTGTTGGTCCCATGTTTCATAAAAAATCCCAGAAATGTTCCATATGCAGAAAAAGCTTATTTCTATGCCCAGTTGTATGAAATCCATAGAATAGGGCCTAATTTACTACTTGAAATTGATTTATTTTTCTTATATGAACTGTAACTCAGTAAAATCTTTTAAAGTTTTTGGATGTTGCGTTTTATATTTTTGTTGAGTATAAAAACATCTAACCCTGCATAGTCATTTACGCAGAGACATGTTAAGCAGCAGAAGCATCATTCTTTTTTTAGTACATGGCCTTTTCATTTATATTTTATTAGAAAAACATTCAGTGCCTTAGAAATAATATGACGTGGGCCAAAGACGGCTGTGCTCGGTCTCTCTCCAGGTCTGGTCATTGACTGGTGTAGCTCAGTAGGTCAGCCTGCCTCACCATGCTCTGGTGGTCAGGACTGCCAGGCACCAGGTGTGCCAAGCCTTTGGGGTCAGGGCTCAGGGGGTAAAGTTTGCTCTCCCCAGCACAGCATCAGTCCCAGCTCTAATTCAGGGGAATCGCTGGCGAGGTGACAAAAGGTTGGTGGCTTTTCCATTCAATGAGAAAAACAACCAACCTTTTGTCATAAATGATTCCCTTTTAGGCGTTACTTGCATGGCTTTATAAAGTAGTCTCCTGAGTAGTCCCCTTAACCCTGATGCTGAGTCCACTAGATACCCTGATGTTACCCTCTGTGTTGTTGTCAGTGAGCTGAAGAGGCGAATGAAAGCTGAGAAGAAGGCATCTGAGAAGGAAGCCAAAGTCAAAGAGCAGGTTGAGCAGACGGAGACCAATGACCAGGCGGATCAGAATGCATACGGGGCAGATGAGGAGACCCTGGACCCTAACGTGAGCTATATGCATGTTTATGATCGTCCTTCATTCCCTCTTGTGATTTGCTTGAGAACATTTGACTGCTCATCTTAGTAGAATATTTTAAATAGGGTTGCAGTAATTGAGCTCTTGAACATTTGCAGTAACCTCACTTTATATTGTTAATCCCAAAAGCAATACTTTAAGATCCGCACCCAAGCCATCCAGGCTCTGAAGGGCACAGCAGAGGACCCATACCCTCACAAGTACAATGTAGATCTGTCGCTCACAGAGTTCATTGAGAAGTACAACCACCTACAGCCTGGAGACCAGCTAACAGACATTGTCCTCAGTGTATCAGGTACTGACAACAACTGTTTTCAACTATTGTGATTTGGAATAATATGATGTTGTCATTTGATGGTCAAGCTGTATTTTTGACATATGTGAAACTCTGTTGTTGGCAGGTCGTGTCCATGCCAAGAGAGAGTCCGGGGCCAAGTTAATCTTCTATGACTTGCGAGGGGAAGGCGTCAAGCTGCAAGTTATGGCAACCAACAGGTACAGAACATGGCCCTTCCCAGAACTCCACTATTCATGGGGGCTCAAATACCTCCCACATGTATATTTTCTAACCCTGTCTGTCCATGTTCCCTGTTAGGGGCTACAAGTCTGAGGAGGAGTTTGTGCGCATCAACAACAAGCTGCGGCGTGGTGACATCATTGGTGTTCGTGGTAACCCGGGGAAGACCAAAAAGGGCGAGCTGAGCATCATTCCCATAGAGATGACCCTGCTTTCACCTTGCTTGCACATGCTGCCCCACCTCCACTTTGGTCTCAAGGACAAGGTGAGCACCTTCACAATCCTGTAGTGGAACATACAGAAAACATGTCAGGCTTTCATATGAATGAGAGATGATAGAGTACACCTTTAATTCATGTAACCAGCAGAAGAAATTGCCTTTTTTAGGGATCCTCACCCTTTCTCTAACCCATTGCCTCCAGGAAACACGATTCCGCCAGCGATACCTGGATCTGATTCTCAATGACTCTGTGAGGCAGAAGTTTGTAACACGTGCCAAGATCATCACTTACCTCCGCAGCTTCCTGGACGGGATGGGATTCCTGGAGGTGAGGGAAATGGCCAGTAGGGGGCACTTGTGTTTAACAATTTTTTTAAAAGGATGTCAGGGAAATGAGGGAGTGTGGAGGAGTTCAGGTTAAGAGTTCAAGAGTGGTAAAGCTGTCTTCTCTTTGATTTGGAAAGTACATTTTAAAGGGTTATTTTTCACAAACAGGGTTTTGGTGATGAGTAACTGACTGTAAAACCACAACACACGTTTCTTACAGATTGAGACGCCCATGATGAACCTGATTCCTGGAGGGGCCGTGGCCAAACCCTTTGTGACCTACCATAACGACCTAGACATGAACCTTTACATGAGGATCGCTCCTGAGCTCTACCACAAGGTAACATGTCCCCCGAGGAAGGACCAACAACGCATTTAAAAAAAAATAAACTCCATGCTCATATTTCCGTGTCTTCTTTCCCCAGATGCTTGTGGTCGGGGGGTTTGACAGAGTGTATGAGGTTGGACGGCAGTTCAGAAACGAAGGCATTGACCTCACCCACAATCCAGAGTTCACCACCTGCGAATTCTATATGGCCTATGCAGATTACTATGACTTGATGGATATCACAGAGAAGCTTCTCTCGGGTGAATGAAGAGGGTGTTTCTACTTCAACATTCTGGAATGTGAATATATAGTGTTACTCACAGTGACATGTAGGTGTGTAGCTGCTAGGTTCCATTACTAACTGGTCCGCTCTCTCTCTTCCCATCAGGGATGGTCAAGCACATCACTGGAGGATACAAAGTGAAGTATCATCCAGAGGGTCCAGAGGGCCAGACCTGTGAGATTGACTTCACTCCTCCCTTCAGGAGGGTCAGCTTGACACACGACCTGGAGAAGGAGATGGGCGTCAAGTTCCCAGCTGCTGACACCTACGACAGTGACGGTAAGAGAATGAATGCCGGTCAATACAGTGCCACAGTTATACCTCTATATATTTATAGAATTTCCTAGGTTGTCTTACTGACCTGTCCCTCTCCACCCACCCCAGAGACCCGTAAATTCTTTGATGAACTGTGTGCCCAGAAAGGAGTGGAGTGCCCTCCTCCTAGAACCACTGCCCGCCTCCTTGACAAGGTGCCCATTCTAATCTACATCAGGAAACTCCCCTCCTATACCCCTTCCGTGTTGTTGACATCATGACTAAACTGAAGTTGATGTTTATCCCTGCAGTTGGTGGGAGATTTCCTGGAAGTCACGTGTATCAACCCCACGTTCATCTGTGACCACCCACAGATCATGAGCCCCCTGGCCAAATGGTGAGCTCTTCCTATCCATATTACACTAAAAAACAAGCAACAATGCTCTTATGGACTGCAGGTTACCATTTGAAACAGTCAACATAGGTCTTGCAGTGCCCCCTGCTTGTCAATGCAGATGTCTCTAGCTGTGCTCTCCTTGATCTCTCCCCATACAGGCACCGGTCAGAGAAAGGCCTGACGGAGCGTTTTGAGCTGTTTGTATTGAAGAAGGAGATCTGTAATGCCTACACTGAGTTGAACGACCCTATCAGACAGAGGGAGCTCTTTGAGCAACAGGCTAAGGTCAGTGTGCCTTGGCGAGTCGACTGAGTAACGCTACAAACTATGTAGTAGTAGGGGCCACTAAACTGACACATTTCCCCCAAATTCTTGCCTTACGTCAACTTAGTAACCATTGGTGCTTCATTTTCTTTGTGATATTTTCCTGTTTATGAGTCACCACCCTGTAAATCTTGATGAGCTATTTAGTTTTAGTACCGTCTGTTTCTCATCTAGCTACTGTGTGTATGTTTGTTTTATTAGGCCAAGGCAGAGGGTGATGACGAGAGTATGTCCATTGATGAGACTTTCTGCACGGCACTAGAGTATGGCCTGCCACCAACTGCTGGCTGGGGCATGGGCATTGACCGCCTTACCATGTTCCTCACAGACTCCAACAACATCAAGGTACAGTTATAATACATACAGGCAGAGGCCAATATAGAGCCTGTGCAATCTCTAAAGCCTGGTTCACACTGTAGGCCTTAATGCTCAAATCAATGTAGTTTTTCAAGTTCTATTTTTCAAGTGACCAAATAGGATTTGTGTGTGTTCAGACGGCAGTAATTTGCTGTCATGGCTATGCTAGTTGCCATAGTAATGACTGATGTGTGCGCAGTAGTGTAGGCTGATTGGTGGTGGTGCTCCCTGCTTCCTATCACTCAGAAGTTATGTAGCCAGCTAAGGGACTACAATGCCTGCCATGGATGTTTCCCAGTTGCTTTAAATGTTCAAAGTCATAGTGTAAGAACACTTACAAAGCCTCAAAGGATAAGATGATGCAACTTTCAAAAGGAGTCCATTTTGGCTAACCACAACAGTCTGCTAGCTAGGTAGCTGTTTAGTTTTCTAGCACATTCAGTTATTTGTTTGTAAACCATTAACAAGCTAGTTAGCTACCACATGTTCTTATCAAACTGTCAACAGAGTAGCTAGCAAGCAACAAGATATGCCAAATAAATCTGATTTGACCGTTCATACACAAGTTGCATGGCCAAGACTTAGATTTGTATGACCTACGAAGGTGGTTTGAAATGTGGCTTGAAATATCCGATTCCATGTGCTTTTTGGCTGTTCAGACTGCAGGAAAAAGAACAGATTTGAAATGGATTTGCAAAAAACAAAAAGGATTTCAGGCTTTAGACATGCATGTTTATTATTATGTGGTATGGGACACTGTATCGATGATTGTTTACACACATGCACATACACTACAAACTTGAATACACTTCAGCAGGACTCTGTGTGTGTGAAACCACCTGATGTTAATTCTGTTTCACAGGAGGTGCTGTTCTTCCCTGCCATGAAGCCTGATGACAACAAGACAGCCCCTCTCACAGAGGGCACCTCTGTGTAGTATTGTGACCTCGCCTGCTGGCAGATCTCTGCAGGGGTTGGCATGGTGATGAAGCCTGGGGAAATAATCAGATTGGTCTGTTGGTCTCACTGTGGGTCCCGGTGGCATCGACTGTTTTCTATTTTATCATATGGTTTGAATCTTGCAATCTGCATTAAGGGAAATAAGTTAATTTTAAATTGTTTTTCCATCATTACATAGTTGAAAACATAAATTGTGTGCTGTTGTTGCCTTGTATTACCTTGCGCTTTGTCTCTTTTCTGTCTTCCCTCAGTGTGGTGGACATCCAAGCCCAAAGTAATGTCAGTGAATAAGGGTTCTGGACATGTTTGTTGTGTTCTGTTATTGTATGCCATGCAGTCTGACTACTTTTTAAAAAATGGTTCACCCACACAACTGCCATTGGCACAAAAATAAACTTAATGACAAAAATGTGATTCTGTATTCCCATGATTGCGTTATGTCAAGTATATGTCTGCAGCTGATCTACTGTTGCAGTAGGCCTAAGTTACTGGTCTGTGTTCTTTAACCATGGTCTTCATTATGTACATTTTCATAAGCTTTTGGATAAAGCAGTGGTGTAGCCATTCAGCCAAATCTGTTGTGAAACATTTCTTATACGGAAGCGAACGAAACATGGAGGGACATACCTGAATTTGTCCAATAGAAACTGTTTGGCAGAATGACTACACCTATTCTGTTGCAAAACGTTGCCTCTTTATTTTTTCCAAATGGAAAACATTTAGCAACAAACTAGAGTTTCTATTGGACAAATTCAGGTAGATCAATTCCTGTTTCATTCTGCTTCTGTTTGTTTCTTAAATGGTAAACTGTTTCCATTGCAAGACGTAATGAATACACCCCTGGTGACTGAACTCTTGATGGCCAAGGTGCACCCCACCCATTTGGATCCCCTAAGAAAGGATTATGTGGGATGACCTGTGTGCAATACCTTTAGAGGAGGTAGATGTTTGGTAAGTTCATTTTCAGTGAATGCAGTCCAGTTACTTTCTAGTCATGCTGCAAAGTACTGTAGGACCCTAGTGTGAAGTCTACCAAGAAAACCAGCATTTGTTTAATGAAAGCAACACTAGGTCCTAGGAACTGTTTGCCCGATCTCAGCAGTTGTGTACTACAGTACAATAGAACACGGATACAATTGAAACAGTGATGGGGTTAGTGCTGTAATATTCATGAAGGGAAAACGATTTAGAATCAACCCAGTTTATACGATCTACCAAGCATAAGAGAATGGTCGCGTTCCCCTGCTCAGACGTTGCATGAATCAACCAATGGTTGCGTGCCACGGCATCGACTGTCATCGATTGACAGATTGTTATAACATTTGATGTGGTTTGCTGATAGTTAAAATACATACCCAGGCGGTGTAAAATGTGGCATGCTTCAGCAACGCCTGGGCAGAGGAACGCGCCCAAAACCTTATGGTTAGGTCTACAATACCATAAAGATGCAGAGTAGACCAATAGACAGAAAAACATCTAACACTACCAACTATGCGAAAAAACAATTAGTATCCTAAATATTATGTTGTGCATCTATTACGCCTTCAGAGTATCCATATAAGGAAAAACCCTTATCGGCAAATACGGTCCAACTTCCACAAAGTCCTGCGGGTGCAGTGCACGAAAAGCCGCTTCTATTTCATGTCGAGAGCGCGCAAATGGTAATGGTGCGCGCTCCACTCAGTCAATTGCATTTGTAATCTTTTCGGCCGACACTGTGAAGATGGCGATGAGAGTAGCGTTCCGGTGCCTTTCTGCCAACTTTTCCCCAGTACTGCTTCAGCTTTCTCGACCTGTACAGATCTCCGCAAATCGGTTCTTATGGAAGGCCAACACCGCACGGACACTGAGCACGGCCTCGCGACTGTCCACAGGTAACAATTTGTTACAATGTTGCCCAAATTAGATTGATCAACATTACAATTGATGTACGGGTCTGTGGCTACACATTCCAGTCGCCGAGGGGGCAATAATCTCACGCTGTTTTTGGTCACTTTACCACCGTACATTTTTACACGTCAGTGAGAGAGCGTGAACTGCGATTTGAATTTTGTGATCAGCATGTCCAGTTTTGTAAGCAGTTCAGAACGCATGCCCTGCTACGACAAAGTTTGGTCGATGGGTCAAATAAAAAGTAGCCTAATGCTGACCGTTACGTGGTCTAAAAGTAAAATATTCTCTGTAGTTATTCCCAGACGGAAATCAAGTTCTTTCATTTTATGGAATTCCAATGGAATTTTGGGATTCCCTGACCAGCCCTGTCGAACAACGGTCCCCGCGATAGGTTGGTTTAACCGTAACATTTTGAATTATATGGTCGCTTTACATAAACTGTCCCCAAAAGTAGCCAGGTCGAATTAAAGTTTTCATTTTCTTAAACAATGTTTTACAGTGTAATCTATCAGAGGTTTAACTTGACCTTGGAACGATTTGCTGGGTCTACTATCCACGGCCTTAAAAAAACATTAGGGCTTGTTAGGCACTCAGACACCCACTGTCTCGTGCCCCAATGTAGTGGATAATTACATAGAGCAAGTCACACACGAGTTTGGACATAGCCAGTGAAATACTGGCCTGAACTAACACATTTGAGCATACATCTATATTTAGCATATTTACTTTATTTCCTAAATTTGTAGGCTGAAAATGGCAAATACATGTATGGTGTTTTATGTGGGGGGTGTTTTACTCTATAAATTATATTGAAGATCTCTATTAAGGGAAGGCTCTCCCCTGAGTATTTCAGACGATCCAGCCATGCCTCAGCATTTTGCACAGTTCACAATCTGGTTCAAACCTGTATTTTTTCTGCATGAACTGATGCTAGCATTGGAAACTGTTGAGGCATTTAATTCCTCCCCAGGGTATCGGAAACGTGACAGCATTTGACATAAACCATATTTTAATGTTTCTTGCTTAAAATGTGGATTGCATCTGTCCAAAATAGTATAAAATGATTATTAGTTAATTTAATAGAATGAACAGCCCACATAGCAGATTAGAGGAAGGATGTTTTTCATTTCAACCAATAGAGAACTGTTAAATGTGGGTGCTCCCTCCCACCACCCATACTGTGTACAACCATACTACAATATACAGTAATAGCTAGAGAATGCGTGGTACACTGAATGAGCAATTGGCATCACCATGGTGATAGTAATACAATTCACATCTTGTTTGACATTACAGGACTGAATGTGGGAAAGTGCATGTTCAGAATCATGAATGGTATAGTTTTGCCACTGTGCAGTATTTTAAATAAGGTTTGCAGTTTCGCACAGTACTTTTTGGCTCTGGTCCATAGTACATTAGTGTCCTTTGGACAGTCAATAACAAGGACAATGTTTGGGATGGGTACTTAGTTTATGCACATGCATCCCGTTATCTGACGTGAATCTATTTTTACAGCCCTCAAATTCACAGACAAGCATGAGTGGGTACGAGTAGAGGGAGGAGTTGGCACAGTTGGCATCAGCAATTTTGCTCAGGTAGGCAGTTTGGTTGATACTTTTATCAATGATTTAGTGTGCTGTTGTGTTTCTAAATTACTGACAATCTGACATTTATTGGTCTACATAATGCCTGTATTGTCTTGAGAGATTTATTTTGGAACTTTGTACTTTGTCCTGCAATACAAAGACATATACCAGAATGGGCAATTTTACAAATGTATGACTATTGTTTAGGGTAATTGATTAATTGTATTACGCCTGGCTTAAAATTATTTGAGGGCCAATCTGATATTTGTGGACTAACTTGACGTTTACCACAACTTTCATTGGCCTTATTTTATGCTTTATGAAATCAGTTAGACGTTAGGATTCTTCCCAGAATTTCCTCAATGTATACTTCAAATATGAATATTTTGTGTTGCAAATTCTGAAAGCTGTATCTGCTAAAATGTTAGAATTTGTGTCCCTCCATTGTAGCAAGCATTAGGTGATGTGGTGTATTGTGGACTCCCTGAGGTGGGGCAAAAACTTGAACAAATGGGTGAGTATTTTTCAGGTTTTAAGTTTCCTCCCACAAGTAAATGACTATTGTGACCACAAGCTTTGTTGCCAATAAGGAGGGTCATGCATGTCCTTTGCTTGTGTTGCAGATGAGTTTGGTGCTTTGGAAAGCGTGAAGGCTGCTAGTGAGCTGTACTCTCCTCTGACTGGAGAGATAACTGAAATCAACACAGAGCTGGCAGACAACCCTGGACTAGTGAATAAATCCTGCTACGAAGGGGGTGAGTATCTTAGGCAAGACAAAGTGACATGACAAATCAGTTGATAAGTATGTTTTGACATTTCAGTCATTTAGCAGATGCTCTTATCCAGAGCAACTTACAGGAGCAAATTAGGGTTGTGTCTTGTTCAAGGGCACATCGACAGATTTGTCACCTATTCGGCTTGGGGTTTCGATAACAGCAACCTTTCAGTTACTGGCCCAACGCTCTTAGTGGCTGGGGTACCTGCCACCTCCTTATGTGATTTTATGTTGGTGAATAATCAGTGGACACACTATTAAACCCCCTCTCCTGACAATGTTACTGATGGTTGCTCTCCTCTTTGACTTTCAGGCTGGCTAATTAAGATGACTATTGACAACCCAGCAGAACTTGATGGCCTCATGGACGATGGTTCCTATGAGAAATTTGTCAAATCACTTGATGAGTAGACTGCTCGACTCTCCATGTTCTTTTTTTAAATGTTATTTTTAATGTTGATTACAGGTCTTTCACACTAATCCTATCTGGACTGGCTGTAAAATCTCAGCTAAAATGAGATTATGTAAAGTAGCCATATTTATTTTGGACTGTAATTGTTTAATCACCAAGATAACCTAGGTGCTTATTGCTGATGAAACCACAAGACAACCTGATGTGTTTGTTCCCATGTCCTGTTGGCACAACGATAAGTCCTGTTGACACAACGATAAATCCTGTTGGTACGACCATAAGGTTTAATTATTTCAGGTGCTTTGTTTGGACTGAAAAAAAAATTGAGAAGTGGCAACAGGTTGGAAAGTGATTGGAAATGAAGTCAGATAAAATAAATACAACAGACAATCCATTGTTTTTTTCATTATGACTTTTATATTCCCTCTGGTGGGAAGAATTGTATACAGTACTATTCACTTGCTTTACATAAACCACCTTGAGTCCTTATCTAATAGTCAAAACCTAGTTTGGTGTCTGGCAATGCAAGACTAGTCAAAACCTAACCTTGGCTGGCAGCCTGGCACTTCCAAAGACTCCCACACTTGTAGATTCACATTCTTCAGCAAGATAACCTTCTTTAGAACAAAAGACTAAAGCACAAATTAAGCAAGAATCAATTCTATTTGGGATATTTTCATATTTTGAGGTGACATCTGGAATATATTGCATTTTTGTTACACCGCCTGTATTATTATACTGGATTGTTGACATAGCTTACTAATATATCTACTGCTATACATATAATTCTTAGTATATATTTTTGGTGTAGGCCTATATATGCATAGATTGCATTTGGATTACTGATAGTGTTATTTGGGTTAACTGGATTTTTCCTGACATGATATCTTGTTTTTGATTATTTGTGTACTTGTTTGACATTTTTACTGCATTGTTAGGAGCATTTCGCTGCACCTGCTATAACCTCTGCTAAATTGTGTATGCTACCAATAAAATTTTATTTGATATACTGCTGCTGTATTTTCCAACCCAAGTGATTCAAGCTAATGGATGAAAACAAGTTACCGAAAGTTACACTTCAGTGATATTAACACATTTAATATAGCTACACAGTATCATCATTGATATATTAACATATAGTCAGCCCAGTCAGTTAATGGTTCAGTAGTTTACATTATAAATGACAAGTTGCCCATTCAATGAAGGGTGTGTGTGGACCTATTCCTAGAAATTACCCTGCTTTATACACTATACCTTTTTGTTCTGATGCCTAACTGGTGAAAAACCACGGGGATAGAAGCACTAGTGAAACGCGTGCTGATGACACTGGCTGCTTCTCGTTGCTACATTAAAGCTCGGCACACCTTGACTTTTGCCCTTAGATTAAGATAGAGATGAGGTGCAGGGGAGGGTTGATCAATGATTAATGGCAAAAGTGGGCACAGAATCAGTGCAGCAGAGAAACTGAGCATATCTTTGACTTGATTATGAAGGGGCATGGGGATTTACTACTTTACAGGAGAATAGAATTTGGCTGTCGGACAGGGATGGTCCTCTCTTGACACAATGAGCAGAGTGATGGGGTTGCTGTTTATGTGCACTTTAAATATTGCATGCCGCATATCTTTACTATGATTTCAATAAAGTATTAGGGTTTAATACACAACACTCCTACAATGAAAACATGTAATTTATAATTATCATTACAACAATGAGAATGGAAAATTGGGGGATACTCAGAGAAATAGGCTCATATGCAAAAGACTGTCTGAACAGGTCCATAAGTGAAATGTGTGTAACTTTATTGTGGGGCTGCAGTGACCCCTTGTGGTGTACCTACAAACATACATCAGCAATAACTCAGATTTGGGTGGACGACCATTAGTTATTGAACAAATAAACTGTCAGGCATGCATAATGGTTGTTTCAATATGTATTGTATTAGGGTATAACATTTTACATTTTAGTCATTTAGCAGACGCTCTTATCCAGAGCGACTTACAGTTAGTGCATACATTATTGTTATTTTTTTCATACTGGCCCCCCGTGGGAATCGAACCCACAACTGAGCTACATCCCTGCCGGCCATTCCCTCCCATACCCTGGACGACGCTGGGCCAATTGTGCACCGCCCCATGGGTCTCCCGGTCGCGGCCGGCTACGACAGAGCCTGGATTCGAACCAGGATCTCTAGTGGCACAGCTAGCACTGCGATGCAGTGCCTTAGACCACCGCACCACTCGGGATAAAAAGCACGTTATTACTCAGCATTATCCCAAAACCAAGAAGATTTGATTTACTAACCAAAAAACGTACAAAAAACTCATTCGATCTGAATGTATTCTGAACAAGATATAAACAAATAAATAAAATCAAAGATTGATTGTATATTTTTATACCACTCTTCACACGTGAAATGTAGTACATCCGGTTGACAATCCATTGCGTCTACCATTGGGTGCCATCTACATATCCCACAATGCACTGCTTTAGGACTTCCTTTTTCCTTTCGGCCATTTTCCGCCCCAGACGGTATGTGAAAATAAGCTCACTATCTTTCAAACGAAATCGCTCTTAATCCTCCAATATATCGATGTTGGTGTGACTTTTATGCATTTATTGCGAAAGTGTATGATGTTGTCGTTCCGAATATATTACTATTGATGAGTTTGTTGCGATAAAGGCTCAGTACTTGAAATTGGTTAGCAGTCATAACCTACCTGGGTTGCAGACGCATGTATGTGTGTGTGTTGTCAGTGACGTTACACGTTTCATTGTCACCAACCTGTCGATAATGATCTAGATTATCGACAATCAACTCAAAAGGTTACGGAGTCATTATCACAGTAAAATATACTTTTATTGTTCCGGCTGTTTGTTGTAATCCATCGTTGACCCCCCCCCCCCCCCCCCCCCCCCAGCTAGCTTGGAGGTGATGGCTAGCTAACTGGCTACCATTTAGCCTAGTAAGCACTTCGTCAGCCATTTATTCCTCAGCTAGATGGTCTGATCTTATTGCTAAATGTGATTAGCTTCTACGCCTACATGTGTTAGTGTCAACTTCTGTTTCAGGGAAGTAGGCAACCATGGCACCCAGCCGAAATGGCATGCTTTTGAACCCCCACTTCCACAAAGACTGGCAGACGAGGGTGCGCACCTGGTTCAACCAGCCTGCAAGGAAGACTCGCAGGTAGCCCTTGATTAGTTACTTTGGTTAAGTATAGTATAATGGTTGGATAAATGCTAACGTTTGGTTGAAGTGTCTGACGTTTCAAACGTCCACTGTATGCAAACCTAACAGCTATTAACTAACATGCTTATGTGACGTACCTAGTTGGTTAACTAGCTGTATGGATTGAATGATGGCTATGGTGTAATTCTGGTGTGTAGCTGTGCAAGACATGCCTGCGGCTGTATGGATGTGATGGAGATCATTCAAATATAACTTGCTATATATGAACAGAGTATTTGTTTTTCAGGCGAAAGGCCCGTCAGATCAAGGCTCGTCGTATTGCTCCACGTCCTGTGGCCGGACCCCTTAGGCCTCAAGTCAGGTGTCCCACCATCAGGTATCACACCAAGGTGCGCGCCGGACGTGGCTTCACCCTGGAGGAGCTCAAGGTAAAAGGAATATTAACAGTACATTTACCTTTTGAATAATATCCTTCCGGTTTAGGTAGTGTTGGTACATTATGTAAGACTGAACAGAGTGAAAGACCGGTGTGAATTTATTGGATATTTTAGCTTGCTGACTACTAAAACCGTTTACAGCAGTCAAGTGTTGACAAATCTCCGGAATCTCTGCACCTCCTTGATGATTCAATTTGAACCTATTTGCTGATGTCTGCTTGATTTAATATGTTGTGCATCTTAAAAAACTCAATTAAAGTTAGTCAATTGAGTAATAATATGGGACTCAAGCCAGTTATTAACCAATTTTATTTTTTACATGCTTTTTGCCTGAATGTAGCAAATCTACTTGTATTGATTTATGTGCAAGCCTTCACACTTCTAAAAGTCCAGGCATGGTTAGCAACTAAATGTCTAACATTCCTCAAATATTTGGTTCACTGTCTTGCATGTGCTTTGTGTATTCCAGGCCGCCGGTATCCACAAGAAGACAGCCCGCACAATTGGCATCTCGGTTGACTCCCGCCGTCGCAACAGGTCATCGGAGTCCCTGCAGGCCAATGTACAGCGCCTGAAGGAGTACCGCTCCAAGCTCATCCTCTTCCCCAGGAAGGCCTCCACACCCAAGAAGGGAGACAGCACTGTAAGTGTCAGTCATAGAACATTGGGTTGAGTGTTTATAAACATATGGGCACGCATAACCATATTGTCAAATGATTCAAAGTGATTGCCTAATTTGAGGGTCAGATTATAAACATTTGCAGTGTGACGATTTCAGCAGTCATGCATAACATTCCCTGTTAAAAGTGATTTCAGAAAATTTGCTCATAAATGGAGCAATGAGTGAAATTGTGATGAGGAAACCTGGATTGTGAGCAGCACTGGGCCAGCAGTCAAGTGATGACAAATTCTCCGGAATCTCTGTATTACCTTGATGATTACCTTTGAACCTATTATCTGATGACTGCTGGTTTCATGTGTCCAGTGCCCATTCTGTAGTTTCTGGAATGACCTGTTAGCAAAGACATTTTGGAGTTAAGGTGTGGAAATTGGGCTTCAAGCTAGTCTGTGGAGACTTTGAGAAGTTTTTACTGCATTTTGTGCTGTCTTAGACATATTGGTGGACAGTGTTGGAATGTCATTAAAAATATTGTTTACACATAACAGCTCTGCATGGTTATCTGGACTACAACTTATGGGACTACTTTGTTTACGTGCGCCATTGTAGTTTTAGAATCAGTTGGTGGTGTGCAATTAAATGTTTGAAATGTCTTCTCTTCACCCCAGTAGCGTTTTAGATTGACTGCACCGTCTTGAATGTGCTCATGGTAGATGTTACTTTTCCTGCGCGTATTAAAACCTTTCCCTTTCTCCAGGAGGAGGAACTCAAGATGGCCACGCAGCTCTCTGGGGCTGTCATGCCCATCAAGAATGTACGTATCACTCAATTCACCCAAAAAATGGTCATAATTGGAGGATGTAAGATTAGTATCTTGAGTATATGTATTGAATACATTGTTAGAGCTCTTTCAGCAGTCAAGTGATGACAAATTCTCCGGAATCTCTGTATTACCTTGATGATTCTCTTTGAACCTATTATCTGATGACTGCCAGATTGTGTGCTGTGCCTTAACTTACAGACGTGGACACATAAATAATTCAATAATTGAGTAATAACATGGGACTCGAGCCTAATCCATTAATTGTATTTTACTTTCTCTTTGTCTGAAATGCCCTCTACTAGCCCTTCTATTCTTGAGTGTATCTTTACATCAACTGGTTGTAATTGGGGTCTTCTCCCTGTGCTGCAGGTGCATAAGAAGGAGAAGGCCAGGGTGATTTCTGAAGATGAGAAGAACTTCAAGGCTTTCGCCAGCCTGCGTATGGCCCGTGCCAATGCTCGTCTCTTCGGTATCCGTGCCAAGAGGGCAAAGGAGGCGGAAGCAGAGAGTATTGACAAGAAGAAATAAACCGTTAGTTTCTATGGAACTTTCAAAAATAAAAACATGTACAAATTCGCTGGTCATTTTTCAATATGAAGGGTCATGTTTGTTAGCATCTCGCATCTTGGACTTTTAATTTTTTATTGCAGTTGTGCAGACATTTCTGATTAACGGTGTTAAACACTCAACTTTGGTACATTAGAAAAATCTATTTTAATGCTTAAGTATTTAAATGAGCACATTTGATGGATTATAGAAATACAGGCATCAATGCAAACACTAAATCCAGTGTTTTTATTTTTTTATTTTTTTATTTCACCTTTATTTAACCAGGTAAACCAGTTGAGAACAAGTTCTCATTTACAACTGCGACCTGGCCAAGATAAAGCAAAGCAGTGCGATAAAAACAACAACACAGAGTTACATATGGGGTAAAACAAAACAAAAATCAAAAAAAAAAAAAATATATATACAACAAATACAATTTAATATACAGTGTGCAAATTTAGCAAGTTATGGAGGTAAGGCAATAAAATAGGCTATAGTGCAAAATAATTACAATTTAGTATTAACACTGGAATGATGTGCAAGAGATGATGTGCAAATAGAGATACTGGGGTACAGATGAGCAAAATAAATAACAATATAGGGATGAGGTAGTTGGGCGGGCTAATTTCAGATGGGCTGTGTACAGGTGCAGTGATCGGTAAGGTGCTCTGACAACTGATGCTTAAAGTTAGTAAGGGAGATAAGTGTCTCCAGCTTCAGAGATTTTTGCAATTTGTTCCAGTCATTGGCAGCAGAGAACTGGAAGGAATTGCGGCCAAAGGAGGTGTTGGCTTTGGGGATGACCAGTGAGATATACCCGCTGGAGCGCAGACTACGGGTGGGTGTTGCTATGGTGACCAATGAGCTAAGATAAGGCGGGGATTTGCCTAGCAGTGATTTATAGATGGCCTGGAGCCAGTGGGTTTGGCGACGAATATGTAGTGAGGACCAGCCAACAAGAGCGTACAGGTCACAGTGGTGGGTATTATATGGGGCTTTGGAGACAAAACGGATGGCACTGTGATAGACAACATCCAATTTGCTGAGTAGAGTGTTGGAGGCTATTTTGTAAATGACATCGCCGAAGTCGAGGATCGGTAGGATAGTCAGTTTTACGAGGGCATGTTTGGCAGCATGAGTGAAGGAGGCTTTGTTGCGAAATAGGAAACCGATTCTAGATTTAACTTTGGATTGGAGATTCTTAATGTGAGTCTGGAAGGAGAGTTTACAGTCTAACCAGACACCTAGATATTTGTAGTTGTCCACGTACTCTAGGTCAGACCCGTCTAGAGTAGTGATTCTAGTCGGGTGGGCGGGTGCAAGCAGCGTTCGGTTGAAGAGCATGCATTTTGTTTTACTAGTGTTTAAGAGCAGTTGGAGGCTACTGAAGGAGTGTTGTATGGAATTGAAGCTCGTTTGGAGGTTTGTTAACACAGTGTCCAATGAAGGGCCAGATGTATACAAAATGGTGTCGTCTGCGTAGAGGTGGATCTGAGAGTCACTAGCAGCAAGAGCGACGTCATTGATATACACAGAGAAAAGAGTTGGCCCAAGAATTGAACCCTGTGGCACCCCCATAGAGACTGCCATAGGTCCAGACAACAGGCCCTCCGATTTGACACATTGAACTCTATCTGAGAAGTAGTTGGTGAACCAGGCGAGGCAGTCATTTGAGAAACCAAGGCTATTTAGTCTGCCAATAAGAATGCGGTGGTTGACAGAGTCGAAAGCCTTGGCCAGGTCAATGAAAACGGCTGCACAGTACTGTCTATTATCGATCGCGGTTATAATATCATTTAGGACCTTGAGCGTGGCTGAACTGCACCCATGACCAGCTCGGAAACCGGATTGCATAGCGGAGAAGGTACGGTGGGATTCGAAATGGTTGGTGATCTGTTTGTTGACTTGGCTTTCAAAAACTTTTGAAAGGCAGGGCAGGATGGATATGGGTCTGTAACAGTTTGGGTCTAGAGTGTCACCCCCTTTGAAGAGGGGGATGACCGCGGCAGCTTTCCAATCTCTGGGGATCTCAGACGTTACGAAAGAGAGGTTGAACAGGCTAGTAATAGGGGTTGCGACAATTTCGGCGGCTAGTTTTAGAAAGAAAGGGTCCAGATTGTCTAGTCCAGATGATTTGTAGGGGTCCAGATTTTGCAGCTCTTTTAGAACATCAGCTGTCTGGATTTGTGTGAAGGAGAAGCGGGGGGGGCATGGGCAAGTTGCAGCGGAGGGTGCAGAGCTGGTGGCCGGGGTAGTGGTAGCCAGGTGGAAAGCATGGCCAGCCGTAGCAAAATGCTTGTTGAAATTCTCGATTATTGTAGATTTATCGGTGGTGATAGTGTTTCCTAGCCTCAGTGCAGTGGGCAGCTGGGAGGAAGTACTCTTATTTTCCATGGACTTTACAGTGTCCCAAAACTTTTTGGAGTTAGTGCTACAGGATGCAAATTTCTGTTTGAAAAAGTTAGCCTTTGCTTTCTTGTGTTGCCCAAGAGACCAATGGATACAATATATCTTGCCCAGTCATTACCAGCAGGTGGCAGCTGTGCCACATTGATAATCCCTCAACCTGGCAATTTCAAATTGTATGTGAAAACCTGTCTCCTGAATATGAACTATATGATATGGAGGTGACATTTTCGAGGAAGTGGCTTTGTAGTTTTTGTACATTTGTAGGCTTTTTGAATCGTCTTCAATGAGTCAAATGTAGCACAATGGTCCTCAAGCCAAAAAATTCATAATGCATCTGGCAGAAGTAAATTAATCCACCAGCTCAATCATTTATCTTAAATGACTGTTTTTCATGAATTTGATGTAATCTTCAAGCCCATTCAAAAGATTAGGGGATGTAAAGCAGAAGTGGTGGTTACTTTCACAGGGGTTTTGTTTAGCATACTTTGAATTCCAAAATATGAAATGGATTGTTCTTTCACAAAGTAGTCAATCTACAAAATCTCAGTAGGATGTGGTGCCCTTGGAGTGGTTATAACGCCTCCGAAATAGTTTACTGCTCACATTCGTTTTACTGTTAACGAAGCCAGAACAGTGTATGTTTTAGGGACTTATTATGAGCAATGCTCCAGCCTTCTAGTAGTATATGATATGTGGTTTTGAGTTATGTAGTCAAAGAATCGATGGAAAGGTTCTTTGTGGAATTCCTAGAGATTCTCATCCTAGCCCTAAGAGTTCCAGTTCGGTATTTGTAGGGGTGCAGTTACACTGAACAAAAATATAAACGCAACAAATTATGATTTTACTGAGTTACAGTTCGTATACGGAAATCAGTCAATTGAAATGTTACATTTTTAGTCATTTAGCAGACGCACTTATCCACAGCGATTTACAGTTAGTGAGTGCATACATTTTCATACTGGCCCCCCGTGGGAAACGAACCCACAACCCTGGCATTGCAAGTGCCGTGCTCTACCAACTGAACTACACGGGACCTTATCTATGGATTCCACATCACTGGGAATACCGGTATGCATCTGTTGGTCACCGATACTTTAAAAAAAAATATATAATCTGAAAACCAGACAGAATGTGGTGTGACCACCATTTGCCTCATGCAGCGCAACACATCTTTGCATAGAGTTGATTGTGGCCTGTGGAAGGTTGTCCCACTCTTCAATGGCTGTGCGAAGTTGCTGGATATTGGTGGGAATGGGAACACGCTGTCGTACATGTCGATCCAGAGCGTCCCAAACATGCTCAATGGGTGACGTCTGGTGAGTATGGGACATTTTCAGCTTCCAGGAATTGTGTACTGATCCTTGTGCATTATGCTGAAACATGAGGTGATAGTGGCGGATGAATGGCTCGACAATGGGCCTCAGGATCTCGTCATGGTATCTCTGTGCATTGAAATTGCCATTGATAAAATGCAATTGTGTTCGTTGTCCATAACATAACCCTACCGCCACCATGGGGCACTCTGTTCACAATGTTGACATCAGCAAACCGCTCTCCCACATGACACCATACACGCTGTTTGCCATCTGCCCAGTATAGTTGAAACTGGGATTCATCCGTGAAGAGCACACTTCTCCAGCGTGCCAGTGGCCATCGAAAGTGAGCATTTGGCTACGACACTGAACTGCAGTCAGGTCAAGACCTGATGAGGACAATGAGCACACAGATGAGCTTCCCTGAGATGGATTCTGACAGTTTGTGCAGAAATTCTTTGGTTGTGCAAACCAACAGTTTCATCGGGTGGCTGGTCTCAAGACGATCCCACAGGTGAAGAAGCCGGATGTGGAGGTCCTGGGCTGACGTGGTTACAAGTGGTCTGCGGTTGTGAGGCCAGTTGGATGTACTGCCAAATTCTCTAAAATGACGTTGGAGGCGGCTTATGGTAGAGAAATGAACATTCTATTCTCTGGCAACAGATCTGGTGGACATTCCTGCTGTCAGCATGACAATTGCACGCTCCCTCAAAACTTGAGACATCTGTGACATTGTGTTGTGTGACAAAACTGCACATTTTAGAGTGGCCTTTTATTGTCCCCAGCACAAGGTGCACCTGTGTAATGATGAACTGTTTAATCAGCTTGTTGATATGCCACACCTTTTTGTGTGTATGGAACATTTCTGGGATCTTTTATTTCAGCTCATGAAACATGGGATCAACACTTTAAAGGGGAAAGGGGGATACCTAGTCAGTTGTATAACTGAGTGCATTCAACTGAAATGTGTCTTCCGCATTTAACCCAACCCCACTGAATAAGAGAGGTGCGAGGGGCTGCCTTAATTGACATCGGAAAGTATTCAGACCCATTGACTTTTTCCACATTTTGTTACGTTACAGCATGATTCTAAAATTGATTAAAAATAATTTGTCAGCAATCTACACACAATACCCACGTAATGACAAAGCGAAAACAGGTTGAAAAATAAATAAAAAACAGAAAAGCCTTATTTACATAAGTATTCAGAACCTTTGCTATGAGACTCAAAATTGAGCTCAGGTGCATCCTGTTTCC